TGCTATTGTACAAAGAAGGGATGAGACTTTACGGGGGCGGGGGGAGAAAAAGGGCAGTAAAAATGTGTCTGGAAAAACACATTGAGAGTTTTTAACCAGTTTTAACAATTTTATCACATCCTGTAGTGACTTATTAGCAGTGCCTTCAACCTTTATATATTCCAATAACAACTTGATGCCTTCATCTTATCTTATGGAACTATAATTGGCTGAATCCAGGTACCAGTGCCTGGAGGCCATAGAACCTTATAGACTTTAATGGCTCATTAGGTATTTATTCACTTTAACTTCAACAGCTCAGCCATTTGCGGAAAATGAGCCCTTAAAATAGAATTAGGGGTTTTGGTTTTGGGTTGTTTTTTGGTTTTTTTTTTAACCTAAAAGCAGTGTATAACTTGAACTGCCACTGAGTTTAAATTTCCAGATCTGCTGGTTTAATTTGGCTTTGCCCTCTTCCCTTTTCAAAATGGGTTGTGGCTTTGTAATGACTTCTTATGCTGAAGAACTATGCTGGTGGCACTGAGCACTGCTTGAATGAAACAGAATGCTTCCTTTAGTTAAAAACCAAGCCAACCCCCACTAAATGTGTGCTTAATGTCTTTTGATAACTCACGCTGGCAGGTGTCATCTCTGCAGGCTCCTTCAGGCCTTTAATCATCAGAAAGCAGAGACTGGAGGGGTCCTAATTAATCTGAATTTTAGCCAGGGTGGTGGGTGGTTCTACTTTACTCTTCAAAATAGCATGAGCCTGGTGCTACACACATGGTGCACCTTGGGCTGTGTCCAAAACCAGGAGGCTGGGAGAGAAAAAGGCTGTAAAAGGTAACAGAGGCTGGGGAGGGTGTGAGTTCCTTTAATGGTTCCAGCTGAAGCCTCACTTGGTGCTGAACAGGAAAACCCCATTCTCCTCCTTCACTCAGTGATCTGGAAGGCCCAGCACAGAGAAAAACGTGTTTTTTTTTCTGAATAAAAACAATATAGTTATGTCAATGAAAATGCACCAAAACCACAGTGATGTTGAGTGGTTTTGTTGCAAATTTCTCTTCAAGGAGAATTTCTCTTGGGCTTAAAGGAAGGTCGTTTCTGTAATGGGGTGGATCATTTCTTTGTGGTAGGTTACCCTCGTCCCTCACTGCCCAGCAGTGCCACGTGAAGTGGGCATGGGCTCGTGAGAAAGGGAATTTATGTGCAGGATGCCGTGGAATTGATGGCTGCCTTTGGCTTCTTGGGCCACCAGGGTCTCTGTGGGAAGGGATCACCCTGCTCCTTGGTGATAATGACAGGTGAACATTCTGTTCTAGAGACAAGCCGCCCAATTCTCCACCCTAATAAATCTATTTCTTCCCCATATCATCAGGCTCCACAGCCTAAGAGAAGTTTTATTTCATGAATGCCTAAAAAATTATCTGGAAATTGCTTTTTAGCTGCCCTTTTTTCACATTTCTTTTTGTTCTTTTCCATTATTTGGAATGGTCTGAAAGTGTCTCTATTTAGTTGAAGAATACACTTTATATTTTGCTGGGGGAGGGTGGCTTTGTAAAGGAAAAAATTAAAAAGCTCTTAAAATACTCAGGAATGAAAATGGTGCCTATAATATGAACAGATTGTGATGGACTCTGAGCACAAATGGGGGCTGAGGGCTAAAATAAAGCTTTGTGAGAGTTGTGGTTTAAGGAATGACCAGGATGGAGCCCAGGAGAAGCAGGAGCTGCTTGTCCCTAGGTGGAGAATTGAAGGAGCAGTAAAATACTGAAAGGCTCTGTCTGTTCCAGAGGGATCATTAAGGTGAGTTTGTTACTTTAATTCACTTAGAGTGGTGCTTAAGGACAATTTGTTCCTGATTCCCCCTGCCAGCTGAAGCAAGTGGTTTTCTTTTCCTCCCTTTTCCCCTGCCACTATGAGCCCACAGAAGGGAATGGCTGGAGACAGGAGCCTGGCTCAACCAAATTCCCTTTCCATCATCCCCCAGCTGCTTTCTGCACGCTGAACACTGCCCACAACTTCTAACACCCAATTTAAATTGATTTCAAACCAGTGCCAGAGGAATGCACAAGCAGTGGGCTCTGTTTTGTGATGGGGGTCTTTAATTGCAGAGTTTCTCTTGCTCTGGGGGTGCCCCCATTGCCCCCCAGCACCTTTGACAAATTGTATTGTCTAGATGAAATGTCCATTATTGTCTATATGAAATGTCCTTTATTGTCCATATAAAATGTTTCTTTGATTTTATTTTTTGTTTGAAAAGCAATATATGTACATAATTAATGCCTGGGCAGCTCTTAAGACTGTCCCTCACCCCTGGTAACTTGTTAAATTTAGAAAAGGTGCCTTGGTGTTTAATTCCTGCAGACTCCTGGGCTGATGGCAGTGCAGGGATGGCAGTGAGAGCAGGGTCAGGCTGGAGCTGACATTCCTCCCATCCTGCTCCATCCCACGTGGGATCAGACAGAAGAGACCCCACATCACACAGGGAGCCAGGGAGCTGTGTTGACACAATATATTTAGACTTGTGTAATGTGTTTGACTCAGCGCTGCACAACATTCTGATTAAAAACAATTATCGCTGCACAAAACTGGTGTGGCACATATTAAATGTTCCCGAGGTGCATGGCAGCATGCAGAGGGGGATCAGCACTGGGGGAAGTTTCCTGCTCCCTCTGGGGTGGTGGGTTGGGCACAGGAACTCCAGTGGAATTTTGCTGGTTTGGGCTGGGACAGAGCTCACTTGTCTCTGTGCTGGGAGCTCAGGGTGAGGATGGTGTGGGCAGCACGCTGAGGATGGCTCTGGTGGGCTGACCCTAAATCCAGGACATCAGCTGGCTCTGCTGGGAGGGGGTGCAGGAGGGGCCAGGAGGGAGCAGGGCTGGGACAGCGGGGCCAGACTGGGACATCCCACACATCCCAACACTGACCACTTCAGGAACTGGGGAATTGCCTCTGGGACACACTGGGACATCCCACACATCCCAACAGCCTGACCACTTCAGGAACTGGGGAATTGCCTCTGGGCATCACTAAGAGGTTTGTGGGCAACTGTCCTGGGCATCACTTGGTTTTGTAAGGGCTTATCTCTCTCCCCCTCTCCTTTTTACTACAATTTAATCAGCAGTAGCAGCAAACATTGCTTTGTTTCAATTATTAAAGTGTTTATCCATCTTCATCTTGACCCATGAACTTTTCCATCCCTTTTTCTGCCCCGGTTCTGCTGAGGCAGAGCACTGAGGGAGCGGCTCAGGGCCAGCCCACCACTACTTCCTTTCTGAAAATCTTCAGAACAATTTGCTGACGTGGAGAACTCATGGTAATCACGGTATTGTCCAGTTGGAATGAAGGTTCTGATGTGCCTTGATTAAAGCCCACGTGAGGGAACAGCTTGTGTGAGGCACAGCAGACATTTCCTTAATTTAACAAGCCAAGGCAGGATGAGATCCAGTTAATTTTGCTTAAACCATAATGACTCATTCCAATTGAAGTTATGGCCCTGGAGGTCAGTGGAAAAACAAGTGCCCTGAGCTGACTTTGAGCCAAAACTCAGTAACTCAGGGACTGAAGGCAGGATGGGACCTGTGGCAGAAAAATGGAGCCAGCAGAAATTCCAGGCAGGCTTCAGGTGCTAAAATTTCACACACAGACCCATAGAGGAGTTTTCATTATTTCATTTTATAATCCTTCTTAAAACCTGCCCTAGCTCCTACCACAAAACACGCTCAGGATGATGCAGGGGTTACCAAGTGATGCATTTTGACTGGATTCTACTGGAAGTCACATAGATTACAGTAGTTTTCCCCTTCTGGTGTAAAAATTCCGTGAGGCTGAATGAGATCACAGCCTGTAATGACAGTGTTCACTGTCTCCTAGCACCAGCAGTGATTAGAAGCAGAATTATAGCGTGGTGATTTCATGTCAGAGGACAATGCTTTATTAGAGTTTGATTTACTTAGTAATTTAAGTACACTGAATCAGAGCAGGGGAGAGTGCTTTAGAAGTAATTTTTTCGTTAGCTCGGTTATTTTTGTTTTGTTCTGTCTTTATTGTGACCTTCATCAGACTGTAAGGGCTCCTGGAAAACAGGAATAGCGCCTTTTTAACGTTGTGATTCACCCAAATCCAACACTGGTGGAACAGCAATGTGCCAAGGGGACAGAGAAGGTCTAAGGCATGTGGAAAGAAGCTGATGACCTGGATGTGGTCATGGAATGGGGTCTTTTCCTGATTCCCATGAAGATGATAACAGCTACTCGTGATTAGCAGCTGCCCGCTGTTGAGTCACGTTTAATTGCTCAGTTACTCATTTATATCACCGAGTTTTCCCATCTATGAGGTAAAACTGGTCTGATTTAGGAGTGTAGATTCTGCACAGAGTCCAAAGGAAAGAATTGAGCATCTCCAAAGATGATTCTGCTGTACTGAGCTGCTGAGAAAGGTGGGCTGACGCAGCCTCTGGGGGTACCTGTGTTCCTGCAGATCACGAGGTGTGTCCTGGCTCTGGGGCTGCAGCACAAGAGCTCTCCAGAGCTGCTGGGGATGTCCTGTCCCTGTGGGTTCCCATTCCCTGCTGCCCACTGAGCAGCTCCAGCCGCTCCTGGAGCTGTGGGACAATCCCTGCCCTCCTCTCTGCTCCGAGGCTGGGATGGAAGCGTTGGAAACAACCAGAGCAAGGTGAGCGGGCAGGGGCTGCTGCTCAGGAAATCTTTCACTTCCCATTAAGGCTAATTTATCCTTTTTTTTTCCACAGGCACAGAAACTCCCATGCAAACAAATCCTCTGCTATTGCATTTTCTGTCAAATTAACCCCCCTGCACCCCAGCCTGGGGCTCCACTGCTGCTCCTGGGGCACTGGGACACCGCCTCCCAGGGAATGCATTGCCCTTGGGGCCACCTGGGGTTAGCTAAGCAGCATTTCTCCATGTTTGATTACCAATTTGAGTTAATTAACGTGCTGCATGTGATCTTTATTAATTAGAGCGTGCTCAGGCCTTGATAAAGTGTGTGTCCTCCTAGCACAACATAATGGCTTCACAGAACCCCTACACACTGTGGTTAATTAGGAGTGCATTAGGATTTCAGTGTTTAAGGGATGAGAAGAAAAAAGATAAAATACCTTTTTTAATGGTTGTAGAATGGTTCTAAGAAAAGCCTTCCACAAAGTGAAGGTAAGGATGGATTTTTTTTTTTTTAAAGATGAAATTATTTGGTGGAGACAATTTTTCCCTAATTTGACAGTTTTGCTCTGTGTAATCTGTGGGAAGAGCAAGCTTAGGATGGGAAAAAAAAAAAGAAAAAGCAGGGGGACACATTGCTTCAGTGCAGGAGAGGAAAGACAGTCATTTATAGCTGCTATTTCCTTAAATTTGATAGTCAGCTCTAGCCAGCTGTGTGAACTCCCAGCTCTGGGGAGAAATCCTTGTTTTTAAGGACAATTAACATTTTCTACTCGTTGTGCTTGGTTTCAACCCATTTGGTGCTGCACTTAGAGGCAAGCCCTGCCCAAACCTGCCAGCAGAAGACCACACGTTCGAGAATAGGGATAACTAATTAACCTTTCACTGGTAGTGTGTGTTTTCTTATTTACCTGCCGACAGAGCTGAGAGCAGGATCAGCAGCTCAGCCTCAGTTCTTGCCATTTTGGCTCCTGCACTCCCACAAATTTCCTGTGATTGGTGTGGGGTCCAAGCAGCAGAATATTTGTGTTGCATCCACAGAAACTTTCAGGTTTTTTTCTGTTTGTATTGATCCCAAGCCTGAAGTTCTTTGCCCTTATTCTGGCACAGCTGCCCTTACAGCCTGCAAGAGTTTAGGCTGAGCACAGAAAAGGTCTTTGTTCCACTGGCTTCCATAAAACTCTTGAAAAATAATAGCACTGAGCACTAAAGATAAAGGTTAATATATTTATTATTTACATGAATGTAAATTATATATAATATTTAAAAGAATTAAAATTTTATGAGCTGTGTGGAACTGGCCAGGTTTGAATGAGAGTTTTGCTCTTTCCCTCAGTTATCTGGAGCACAGAGCCCTTCTGCACCATTAGGAATTGTGTGTTTACACTGATTCCCTGCAGCACCACTTGAACTCTTCAACTCCTCCTCTTCCAAGGATGAAATCCTGTGGCATGGAAACTCCAGTGCGATGGTGAGCTCAAATATAGATGTGAAATTAATATCAAAGCAGATTAGAGAGTATTTGCTCAGCTGTTGTCTATCCAAGTCATTTTGCAGGATGTGAAAAGCAATCAGCTTCATTTTAGGAGGGCTGTTTCACTTAGCAAGCAGCTTGATTAAGACAGATGCAAATGCAGCTCTGGCTATGTTTAAATAGTATCTGATCATGATTCTTTTAGTCTTAGGCCTCACTTCAAATGGCTACAGGAAATGGAATAGCTGCTGGGGAAAAAGTAGCATGTGCTGTGTGGACAAAGAATTTGCCTGGGTAGAAAAACAACTTTCAAAAAAAGAGGAGAAAAACAGGGGAAAAAGCCAGCAAAAAGGAAGAATTAAAAAAAAACAAACCCTGGCACCTCAGTTGCACCTAAGATTACCCAATATTTCTTTCAAAAAAGCAGGAGGAATGATTCCCAGCACTGTTGACTCAAACCATCATAAAAGACATTTTTAGTGCGATGTAAAAGCAAGATCAACTTTTCCCTGCAGAAACAAGTGCCAGCCTTGAAGCACAGCAAATTCCACCTGATCTTCTTGTCCTCAGACCTCCCTGTGGCCACATCTCCCTGCTCACAGAGCACAGGGATGCTCAGAGGATCTCATTCCTGTGCAGATCCAGCTGGGACAAGGGGATTGCTCCCTTTTCCCCTGAATAGAAAGGTAGGAAGGGTCAAGAACGGTTTAGAATTCACCTTTTCCTCTCAGCACCAACAGGGACAGCCAGGGGAGATGAGTGGATGAGGGTGATGCCTTCTCTGGGGCTACCTACAAATAGAGGCCAGACAAAGTTAAGGGAATAAAAAGGAATTTTATTTATTGAAGGGCCTTCAGGTATATTTTGGGCAGAGCAGCGAGGTGTCCTCGATTCCCAGGCCTGGAGAGGAATTGCTGTGTCTGACCAAAATGTGAAAGCAGCAGCTCACAGTCTGTGTGTTTAGAGTTATACACTGCAGAGCTGCAGGATTACAAATACATGAGAAATAGCCAAGCAGGAGCGCTGAGGGATCAAGGAGGGGTTAATTTTGGGAGCTGAGAGCAGGAGCACAGAGCTGCACTTCCCAGCAGATGGCTCCGTGGTATTCCAGACCCGGCTTGGTCTCCACCAAACCTTTTAACTCCACACAGATGCACCAAGCTTTGCCTTTTCCGTCAGGCACCGGGGTCATGCTGAGGTGTCTTTTATTTTTTTTATGATTACTGCTTTTCCCCTCTGATCATAGCACCAGAAACTTCCACAGTGGAATCCCAGGGCACGGAATAATCCAGCCCTGGGCTGAGTGGGGACCAACAGCTGATTCAGCCCTACTGAGTCATTGGCTGCACATCTAACCAGATAAAATTTAACAAAGCCAATTAAAGCCTTCAGTGTAACACAAGGACACTTCCCCATTGGTATTCCCAGATTCAGAATTTCTGTTGTTTTTTTTATTTTTTTTTTTTTTTTTCACAAAGAGGACAATATGGGATTGATGAGTCTTGTTATTTTCCCTATAAAGAGAGGTCTTAAACACTTAGAGAAGCCTGCCAAGTGCAGCCATTCAGTTCTACACCACAGAACCAGATGAGTTTTGTACGAGTTATAAAATGCATTAATTCAAGATTATACCCCTGTATGCTGTGGAACATATGTAGGTACAGCACAAAGCTGACAATTTGTCAGGCCCTTTTCCAAGCCCTTCTCATGAAGAATGAGGTCCCATTTGGATCAATTACAAGTGAATAGGCATTACAGGCTGAAAATCATGCCTTTGTTGCTTAACAGTGCAAAATATTGTTGGTATAATTATTTTTGTATAGTCCTCTTGCCCTGTGGCGTGGTTCCAAATGTGATTCCAGCTCCACCTGGCTCTAACCCAAGAGCACTCCACATCAGGCCCTCAGGATCCTAATTCTCTCATTCAGCTGACTATGACCAGTGTCTGTGTGGTTTTGGTTCAGCATAGACTGGTACGTGCAGGGAAATCCAAACAATTTTCCAGTGCTGGTGGTGTTCTCCAAAAATTGGCCTCTTCTCCTGTGCCATGCCGGCTCTTCATGAGTTTCTCCTTTGCATTGGATGCATTAAAGTTCTGTATTCCTGAGTTGTGTCGTTATGTGACACTATTTCTCTGCTTTGGCCCCTGATATTTTGATAATGTTCTGATTTTAAACTTCTGATTACACATAAGCAGCCAAGCTACCCAGCTTTTCTCAGAAACTACTTGCAAGAAATGCATCTTCATGCTACACCACATAAACAATTGCTAAAATATGCAGATCAGGAAAACTAATGATGTGTAATGCTAGGATGTTTTAAATGTCTTAATTTAGTTTATAGACACTCCAAAAAAGCCCCACCCCACTTAGGGAGCCAAGCATCAATAACGTGGGTCTGCTCTAGCTGAGTAATCACCTCTCGGTGATGAATTCTTAAATATTAATTTGCTGGATGCTATTCATCATGTGCAACAGTGAAGGCAAGGCAAAATCAAGGCTCCAAAAGGAGAGGGAGGGGTTTTTTTTGCAGCCAAAGTGCAGAGTTGCCATTCTTCAGGCTGGCACGTCCCGTTCTTCCTGCTGTCCTGGGTCTGCCCCAGCTCCCAGAGCGTGTTTGCTGCTGGGGGAAGGCTGAGGTGCCATCCCTGGGTCCCTCCTGAGCGCAGGAACCACGCTGGGGTGCTGCTGGCAGGGAGCAGGGGCTGTGGATGTGCTCACCAGTGTGCTCCTGAGTTCCTGCACAATTCCCTGCCAGCTGCCAAAGAAATGCTGGGGACTTGGATTTTGGTAACTTTTGAGAGAAGGGCAAAAGGGGTGGGGGAATATCTCTGTACAACAGCTCCTCTGTCATCAGGGTGTGTTTGCACAGAGCCCCAGGGGAGAGATTTAGACCCAGCTAAATTCAGCTGAGGGAGGTCAGACACTAAAGGCATTTCAGCTGCAGCCTTGGACAACAATCCTGTCTCGTAGAGTGTAGGAAAAACACCCAGGCTTTAGTGCTGACTCCTGAAATGTCATATTTTAAATGGATCTAAGGTGGTTCCTCATGGTTTTCCTCTAGGAAAACCTCACTCCTTGGACTTCATCCCTTCCCTGCCCTACGAGAGAGGCAGTCAGTACCTAAGACAGGTGTGCAGGAGAGAAAAGTGATTTATTTCATACACCCTGAAAATAAAAGGAGCAGATTTGGGGAATTTTCTGCTGTGCTGAGCAGTATTGGTTGGGTGGGAGGGTATTTTAATGCACAGCTGCTTTCTGCTGCTGTGGTTATGGTCGTGCTGTGGTCACACATTTTTAGGGTTTTGCTGTGGTCACTGGGTTTGGAGACCTCTGATTTGAGGAGCAGGGAAGCATCAGGCCTGGTGGAAATTCTTTGTTCTGCTATTAAGAAGTTTTCTACAAGTATCACAGTGTGCTTAATATAAAATGCCAGTACACACTGGGGTGGAAAACATAGAGAATTCTGCTTTTGCTACTTATTGGTGTGGGATTATTGAGAAGTGATTTCAGCCACTTATGGCCTCAAGGGTCTAATTAAAGTGACAAGTCTCCACAGAGCCTGTGATGCTACAATACTTAGTGGTAGAAATAGGAATAAAAATCACTCCCTTTTCATTGTCTTCCTGTTAAGATGTGACATTAGACAGGAGAGAGGCATCAAGGTGGGAATTTTCCTTCACTTGGAAAGCAGTGGACACCCAAAACTGGGCAGAGAACGCTCCCTCATTTTCTGTCTTTCAAGAGGGTTTATGCAGTAGTAAAATGGAAATAATTCCAGCTCCATCCTCGTGGGAGTTCTGTGGAGTGCAGGAGTTTTCCAGGGTCCTTCACAGATTCCCTGTGGAGTTTTCCACGGCTGACAGGCCAGGCTGTGGGTCCATGGGTGGGGTTCTGTGATTGCAGCTCTGTACCAGGTTCTGGCTCCCCTCCCCTTCGGGCTGCTGTGAAGTTGATGACAAAACTCCAGGTAAAATCTGGAGAAGTTTCTGCACATGGACTCAGTTTTGATGTCTGTGGCCTCGTCTCAGAGCATTCCCTTCCTCCTTTGCTCGTGCATTCCCTGCCTGCTCGGGCTCCCATCCCCAGCCAGTGAGAGCATCCAAGATTAGTGCCACAAATCCATTCTTTTATCCAGGAGCTGCTGATGGAGAAGAAATCACGTTCTGAATCATCAATTCCTCCAAGAGCAAAGTCTCTCAGGAACAAAGATTGCAAAATGAGGCAGCACACTCAGACCTTTCCCTCTCTGTGCTCCTCGGGCTGGTCCCCCAGGGAACCACGTTTTCCAATCCTGCATCGCCCACTTGGGGAGTTGTTTACTTTTCTTTAGCACAAAATTTTTTAAATGATACTTAATCACACCAAAGAGCTTTCTTTTCCTCAGACAAATTGTGTATTTACATACAATTCTCTAATTGCTTGCAACATGTTGCCTTCCAAGTGTAACACCTGCTTGGGGAGGCTGCTAATTTAGATACGACAAGATAAACGGTGTTCTGCATTTTATAAGGAAGGTAGAACAAAAATAATTTTAAAAATATAATTAATTAAGATTACATAATAATAGGGATATTTTTTTTTTCATATTCCATGGCAGCTTTCACAGGAAATTATTTATTTTTCTACTGAAGAAAGGAAAATTTCTGTGAAAATTCGGCCTCATTATAGGGGAGAAATGAGAAAGAAAAACCACGGCTCCTGCTTAAAAATTAGGAGCCTTTAAGGACATGCAGTTTTAAAACCAGAAAAGAGCCTATTTCTTGTCCTAGACAATCAAGGAGGAAGAGCTCTCCTCTCCTACTCTCCCTTTGCATCCTCCAGCCTTTCTTTCCAGCTGTCCCCGTGCCCACCAGAGCTCTGATGGAACTCACTGAGATTTCCATCTCTGCATTTTGCTTTCTTTCCCAGCCCTCGCTGCAGAGGCCTCTCCAAAGCCTTTTTCTTCCATTTGAGGCCCCCTGTGCAGTTCAGAGGGCAGTAAATGTCCTTTGAGGCTCCAGAGGCAAGGCTGGGTAATTGCTGGCAGGTAGAGCTGTGTCTGTCCCAGTGAAATCTCGCCATTCAGGGCTGCTCCCCTTATTGACAAAAGTGGGTTTCTATTTCCCTTGTTCTGCTCATCTCTTTCTGCTCTGTGTGTCACAAACTGAAGGGAATATTTGGTTCTGGCTGCAAGAGAGTTGGTGGAGATGAAGCACAGGGAAATGGCCTAGGCTGAGAAAATCATTTTGATTTTCACTCACCACGTCTGTGCATTCTCTGAGAGCGTTCATAGGAAATAACTATGTCACTTTTATATTCAGTTTCATTTGTGGCTTTTCTTCC